TCAGAGGAGGAAAACAGGTCAGTATATTTACTCAGTGATAAATGCTTGCACTATAAAAAAAAAAATCACACTAAACTAGTTAGCATTTCACTTGGATAATATTAAGACAAACAAACAGCTCTTTAGAGGAGGTAGTGCATGAAAAGTTTTGCTTAGTTCTGTTTTATGAAATTATAGTGTAACTTTAAAGAATTCCTCCATTTCTGGTTGGTCAAAAAATCACACACACTATTCTGGAAAGCAGCTGTGTGAAAAATCCTTCAAAATAAGAAACAAGGATAATTATTTGCAACCTGCAGCTGAATGTGAAATAAAGGTGTCAAATCCGTGGTGATCCATATTCGAACTTGGATTTTGTTGTAAGTAAAATGGATCTGTTCTGTTCACTATTGTTACTACCTGCCACCTCTCTGCATCAGAGCATTACCCTACATGGCACAATTCAGTATAATCGGCAGCCTCCAAAGAAAAAGAGACAACTGGAATACAGCAGGAGGAAGAGGTCACAATACGTGCCAGGGACGAGGTGTACTCAGTAACTTCACACTTGCTTTTGCTTTGCCTGCCTTTCTTTTCACCAACTTCTGAAATCAAAGCAAAAATCACAAATGCTATACAATTTTGCTCTCAACTGAAAAAAAAAAAAGCCAAAAGGGAGACAATCCCCTCGTATAGCTCACATCCCAAGTTAAGAATCATTAATACTCTTAATACTAACAATGCCAAGTCTACAAAACATAGCCTTCCACGAAACACATTTATATAAACAGCTAATATGAGGATGTCAATGCAGCCCTATTATCAAAGCTGGAAGTATATAACAAATTAGCCTTCAAAGAAACAAGAAGCATCTCTTTTTCCAGACCAAGAAAAAAAAAAAAAAAGATACATTTTTCTACCAAGCCCCTCACAGAAGCCATTAATGTATTTATAAAATCATTTAGTCTTCACTACCCAATCTCAGTATAGCATCCACTCATCTCTAGCTAACACAGCTGAGGAACAGAACACAAGCTGTTCTGGTTCCTTCTTTGCACTGCTGTCACGGTGCAGTCTTATAAGGGTATATATACCATCTTATATTTTCAGAGACACATCCTTTTGCATTTCTAAGCTGATAAAGCAACCATACATATGTACATGCGTGTAGCTTTACAGATATAAATATATATATTCCTGTAGTAAAGGCATTGTAACTTACTATGAATAGTACTGAAGAGAGCTTACACTAGTTTATGTTATGTCTGATAGGCTCGGAGATCTTAACAAACAGCTGGAGATAGACGAGACATTGGAAAGAGCTGACAGTTTCTTCTTGGAGGGTAAATTCAGAGTCTGATGTGACAAAAGAAAAAAAAATCCTTCTCTGGCAAAAGAGCTGTGTATGTATTGGACAGTCGTGAATTACACACTTCACAAATGCCCCTCCTCTTGGTCCATTCAAGAATGAGAAACAGTGAGTGATAATCAGAGTATCAGTATTTATCGTGACATGATGGCAAAAGATGGGAGGAGTTCACATGCTATCTGCATGCACGCTACAAGAAAGGTTGGCCTGGATGTAACCAACTGGATACATCTCAGTAGTGAAGCCCAGAACGTGGAGAGGAAAAAAATCCAACAAACCCAATTATTTTTGTGTAGTAAAGCTGGCTTCTACACAGACAGAAGTAAAAGGTAGTTCTGAACTCATGAAGCCTCCAACCCTACAGATCCATAGCTTGCGGGTGATTGACTTCAGTGTGCAAAAAGGTGCAAGAGTGAAGATTAAAGCTTTTCCTATCAAAAAGGCATTTAAGAAGTCTAGGTTTCCCTCTCTTCTCCCTAGGTAACAAGTTAAAAGTGAGTCTTTTGCTCAGAGGGAACTTCTACAGTCTCCCTCCTCCACTACCTACCTATTCCATCCAAGAATAATGTCTTTCAGCTTCTACTCCTCCGTTAAATCAAACTGAAACTGGCTCACATACTCGGATCTACTGCTAGGGGAGGGAGGGAAAGCTTGAGCGACACAGACACGCTCAGGTACAACAGGACCATTTCCTTATAAAATGCCTTCTTCTCTTGAGGAATAACAGAGCCTGAGGTTGCAAATATTTTATGCAAAAATAAGATTCTAGTACTTCATCATGTCTTCTATGGAAATACAAGTTCTTACAGGTTTCATGAACCTTAACTGTTAAGGAGAAAAACTAAAGATCTTTGTGGACCTAGAGACTTCTGTAGCACTTAAATATACTATAAAGATTTACAATTTCTAACAGCTCAGCCAAGCTTGTATTTCAATCACATACAAGTAAGCATGAAAATCCAGTGTTTTACTAATTTCTATTCGTCCGATACGAAGCTTTGCAAACAACCATCCTTTCTTCCTTTCCACCTATTACTGAAAGACTAGTTTTCTGTATTGCAGATTAGCTACTGGTTATCAGCATGGCCATAATTTATTGACCTGGGCCAAATGCAATTTTGCCTTTGCAGCCTGCATTTCTTTACCTGTACTTCTCTGGAGCTGAGGTTTTGATAAACATCAATTGCAAGAATCCACTATAGCTCACATACATGAAACGTTAAAAATATGAGCATGAATATTTAACACTTTTATGCTAATCATTAAAATGATCACATATTGAAAACATATGATAGAGAAATCTGTCTTTTTATCAAGTACAAGGAACATCAAAGCAACCTATGGATGTTTCAGCTAGCTGCATCCAACTAAAGTATCATTTCTTTTATGAATTAAAGCAGCAAGTTGTTTTGGTTTTTTAAACCATGGGAAAGCTCATACTTTTGAAATATAAAGACAAGAAGGGGTGGGAAGTAATTTGTGCAAAACTGGAGACATTATAATCTTTGGCAGTGTATGCAAAAATCTATGATACAAGCCATTCTAGAAAACAAAATACTTAATCAAGGACAGCACCATCAAAATAGGCAACGTTTTGATAGTCAGTTGAATTAAATGTAGGCTGTACAGCAGTAAGCCTTCCCCCGCCCCTTTTCTTTTTCTGAGTTCATAGCTGATTTTGGTCTTTAAAAGCAGCAAGATACCAGACAAGCAAAAATATGGAAGGCTTTAAATGGAACTATTTGATGTGGCAAAACAGCTTTTAGGGACCAGAAGTGTTTCAAAAAAAATTGTTTCTTGCTTTGTTAGAAAACTATCATCAAGAGTAAGCAAGAGGTTACCTACTTGGATAGTACTGTCATCCATTATTCCTTTCCCTTAGACTATTTTAGAGTAGATTATGCCTTTCCCTTTGAGTACCACAAATTAAGTCAGTAGCACAGGCTGTCCACATGGTCAGAAGAACAACTGACTTCCACTTAGCATTTTCTTTCTTGCCTAAAAATGAAATCATTGACTGTATGGATTTTATTTTCTGGCTAGGCAAAGCATTTTAATAAGAGATTCTTATCTCTGCCTTTTGAAGTGGTGAGTGAATCCCCCTATTTGTTTTACTTTCCCTTGTGTTTTTACTTCCCTTCCATATGCGTAGCGGTAAGTGATTTGTGGATCCATTTCCTTTGATACACAATTTATTTGGCTCAGTTTCCACCGCTTCAGTGTATTCTGCTACACCACTGCCTTTGAGTCACAAGCATTCTCTGTTTCTCAACTTTCAATCCTCAAAAAATATAACCCTCCTAGCATTACATTCTGTAAGACAATTTTCAGCCTTCTATCTTTCCCTTTACATTTACACTAGGAATTATGGCACAACCACAGCTCAAAGCAATTATCCTTATAGCCCTGAGACTACATTCCTTATTCTTGGTTTTGTTCTGAACAGTTTTTTTCTTTTCAGAAGGAATGCTACTTTAAGAATTGCTTTAAAGGAAGGTGGTGTGTAAAAGAGGCTGCTTCTACAACATGTCAGTAGTCAACACTTGTTATCATAGAATGGTTTGGGTTGGAAGGGACCTTAAAGATCATCTAGTTCCAACCCCCCTGCCATGGGCAGGGACACCCTCCACTAGACCACACTGCCCAAAGCCCCATCCAACCTGGCCTTGAACACTTCCAGGGGTGGGGCCTCCACCACCTCTCTTGGCAACCTGTTCCAGTACCTTACCACTCTAACAGTAAAGAATTTCCTTCTAACAGCTAATCTGAATCGACCCTCCTTCAGCTTAAAAGTATCAAGGCTGCATAATCAAGAATATTGTTTTCCCATTACAAGCTGATATTCAAACAGGAATCATAACATGAACAGGCTAAAATAATTCTATCCAACTGTATGGAAAGGCCTGATTTGGTTACCTGAATCTCAAGACCACATCAACAGTGAGAAACAACTGAAAATACTAATACACCAATATGTGTGTACCTTTAAAAAGAGAAGGAAGCACTGTCTGACTGTTCAAAAGGAAAATAAAGAACAACAGTCGGAAGGAAACTGGGGTGATTAGCTCAAGAGCCACTTAGCTGTATCTCAGCCTGTTCGCATGTCCTGTTGCTTAGAACACAGACATTGCTTTTCCAGTCCTCCCATTCCATTTTCCTCCCTAAGACTCCTTGAAAGAGTCTGACCTGCAGAAGAAATATGTCTTTGATAGGCACGCAATTATTCTTTTGAAAATCAGTTAGGTACTAGTTCAGGTTGTTCCTCAAGTGCAGTCTGGAAAACAAGCATACTTATGTACTTTCATGTATAATGAGCACTGAGTAAAGTTTAACTTGCATTTAGGAAATAAATCTAGCTATTTTTCTGGAGTTAACAGAAGAACATGACCAGTTCAACTAGCATACCTCGGTTTTATTTCAACAAACATGTTTGTTACCTTCACATGTTTGTGCAACCGATTTTGCCTGTCCCATTCACAAAAAACCCCAAACATCTTCTAGCATAAAATTATACAGCAACATACAGTATAGAAGAATCAGGTTTGAACTGTCAAATGGCATTTACTCAGAATATGATTATATATGAAAACCACAAATATAATATTTTAGCTGTGGTATATCAGAATAGGAGGAAAAAATACAGTTAAGACTGTTTCTATTTCCATATACAACTTTTATTGTAATACCTGTATTCTAAGTGTACAGATACAAATATAAAATGACCCATGACAGACTTTAAACCTGCCCAAATAGGAAACTGAGAAATTTATTCGGTATTAGAGCCAAAGTTGACAGGACTTCAACAGGTGATAGGAAGCTTCCCCAGTCTCTCTCCAAGAACAACCAGGATCCACCATATTTTTGGTCCAAGATGTATGCTTTAAGTTGGCAGCTGAGTCTATGAACGAGTGTATTTACCCCAGATGTGCAGCATAAACACAGAAGCAATAAAAAGAAGACTCATGACCAAAACTGGAACAGGTCCACTAAAAATAAAGAAAAAAAATGCATTAACATAAAAAAAAAAGTCTGTTTTGTCCAAAGGCCAGTCATTATCAGCCAAGTGAACTCATCAGTTCATAAGCAATTGTTCGAGAAAACTCTTACTCTGGTCCCATAGAAATACCTTAAAGTACACAGAAATAAGATAACCATCTCCATCAAAAACTGCTGCTGCCCCAATGTTCTTAAAGATACAGTTTTACACATCCTAAATGTTATGTAACTGTAAAGCACAATATAGCAACAACCCCCCCCTTATTTAAAAAGTGATTAATGGTTCATTATTACTCATCGTTATGAAAACAATCTCCAGAAAATTATCATCTGTATTTACTTCTCAGATAGCCACCTGAGCAGAGATATAGTCAAATACAAAATCCAACAGAGTCCTCTAGCGGCTAGTAAAATTTTGGCATAAAATTTGCATTAGCTGTTTTTTTAGCTGTTTTATTTCATTTGAAAACAACGGCAGCAGTGGGTGAGAGACGGGGACTTCTGTTTTCTTGAAAAAGATACACAGAATGTCAAAGTTAACTCCATCATTAAATCACTACCTAAAATGTATAAATTAACCAATTTCTTTTTTCCTTCCCACTTTTATACATTGCTTAGAAATTGTATAGTGATGTTTTTAAAAAACAGTTTAATCTTAGGGTGCATGTTGAGAGACTGAATCAGCTGTTTCACGCTGTTCTGAGGCACAACAATTACACGCACCGGTACACAATTACACACACTCAACACTGCTTCATACCACTCACTTCATACAATCTCAATTCCGATTTTCAACCTGCTATTGGGAGAAACACCATGAATTCTGCTACTGTTTATAAGCACATAAATGTTACTTGAATGCAAAGTAAAAAAGAAACTGAAAATGGATCAAAACAATTTACTAACATTTTTCTATGAGATCATGGTCCATGTACTTCAAACGTCTGTAACTGTATGCTTACACTGAGTTTTAAAACTCAATTATTATCTATCAGACTTCTTTGTGTATGGAGAACCCTGAGTACAAACATAAAGCATTTAGCAAATAAACCAATGACAAACGATGCAAAATAAAAAAACCACACAGTGACTACCTAAGCAACTTCTACCAAGGGATACCTTTCGCTAAGCAACAGAACGTACTTCTCAATCCCCAGTGGTTTATACATGAAGTTTATGTCCTACATGAAATAAATTGTAATAATATCAGGTGCACAAAGTCCTTACACTGTATCTGAATTACTATTTAATTATTTGAGCCTTTAGTAACAGTAATCTACTCTTTGCCTTCAGTAGTAGCAATCTGTAGGCTACTCTTTGCTGAAGGCACGCAGGAATAGAGAAGCATCACTAACCAGAACAGAGCAACATGGAAAAAACCCAGGGAGGATTGTTTGTATGTTTGGTGGTTTGTTTTGGTTTTCTTAAACATGCAGATGACATTGATCCTCACACAGAATAATCAGCTTTCCAATACTGACATGTGTATCTCATTTCCTCCAGTCTCAAAGACAACCTGCTGAAATCCTGCAATTCTCCTCCATGCACCTGCATCTTCTCAGCCAACCACACAGCTTAAAGAAATTGATAAATAACCTGATTCAGGCACCTCTAAAGATTTGGTATTGTGCATTCTCAGACTGTCTTTCATAAGGCTGCATATTATACCACAAGCCCAATTTGATTCTCTGTCACAGCTCCACAGAAAACACCACCTATAGTTCTTTAAGCAAGAAAGCTCAAGACAGGATACAGGATCCACAGATACCAAGTGCCACAGAAAGAGCAACAAGTTTCGGTTTAGTCTTTTTTTCAAAGTACGTGATACTTGATCTTAGTTTTAAAGAGAAAAATATCACATCCCACTCTCAACCAAACAGCCCACAGCTCCCTTTTGCTAATATTGTTTTTGTAGACATACATATTTTGTAGCATCCTGTACTACAGATGAATGTACTTTCCTGAGGCAAACCAAACTTGCTTAGTCAATATATTTATTATTTCTGATGTTGAGTACAGATGCTAAATGCTTGAAGCATCGGGGCTATAATTATGCACAATATAAAATATAAAACTTCTGATCTAGAGCAGAATTCTCCTGATCATAGCTAGCATGAAATAACCTGTTCTCAGGTGTTTTTAATGTATTTTTTTCATAGTAATTTTAAGAGCTCATATGAGAAAACACAAAACCAACCCACCACCAGGCTAAGCTTTCACATTGGTTTATGCAGTAGTGATCACAACCATTTTTAAAAACAACTTCAGCTGAAGCACTTCACTGAGGCAACCACAACCGCTCTATAATCCATTTTCATTTTTAAGCCTACTGAATAGGACAGAGATCATAACAATTGGTTGCTATGGAAAAAAAACACACATAGAAAAATACATGGAAAGCTGTAAGCAAGAAAGTTGCTCCCAAGCCATGGTTCAGAAAATGTTACAGCTAGTGTGCAGGTGATTTGTAAAACCAACTCAGTTTTACAGATTTGTGTCTTCCATTAAAAGCCTGACCATACAGCTACCCATGGTAGCTTGCAAAAAACCCCTCTTCCAGCATTCCAAAACCTTAGAAAACTGGGAACTGTTGTGTTGCAACATAAACAGAAGGGAAAAATCTATCTACTGACCTGCTTGTATTAAAGATTAGAACAATTAGGTGGCCATTCAACACAAAAAGCAAAACGAAAGGATTCACAAGGAAACTTACTGAAATTTGCAAAGCTGCTTTGACAGCCTGTGTCACAAGTCTACTGAAAAAAAAATCTACCTAATGGTAGAACACTTCTGTTTTTCTCAGTTTTACTCATATTTTTTTAAATTGAGCTTTAGTAGGCCAAACAAGACAGAAAATAGTTGCCTTCCCTATCTGCATAGATTTGCTCTAGAACAGTATCATTGCTCTTTGCCTTTTTTTTTTCCCCTTTGCCTTGTCTCCTCTCCAGATTCAGAATGGAGAAAGCAAGACCTGCAGTAGCAGAACACCACTACTTCGATAGTTTGCTGTACAGTTTTTGTTTTTTGAAGCGTCAAGCACATATGAAAATGAAACCATGTAAGACAACTTCAGAGGAAGGATTACTTATGGAACAATCATTAACTAGACTATCACCAGGCCTTCCCCAAAGGTGCTGTTCGTGCAGCCAGCAACAGCCCTCTTAAAGGGCTCCAAAATAAAATATTCACGAATTCTAGAAAAAAGAAGCAACAGAGACATTCCTGAGTGTCTTGAGTCTCTTCAACCCAGAACAAGAGCCCATGAAGCATAACTCTACAAGAAACACACACTCCCACTCAAGGTAGGATATAGCATGCACCCTCAGATGAAATGGACCTTCCACCTTTGCTACCCAAGTATTAGGCTGCAAAGCTTGCTTGGGAAACTGATCTGAATGACTCAAACTGGCCAAAAAGTAAAAACTTGGGCTCTCTTTACAGCTTAAGGGACACTACCGTCATCTTTGAATATTCACCTTGTAAAAACAGAGACATACAAGGTATCGGAATGCTATTTGCTTTGCAAGCTTAGCTACAACAATTTATCTTCAGCTTTTTTATCAAAAACACCTAAGATTCTACACGCATGTGGCATATCAGTTATGTTTTCAAGGGGGGGGAGGGGGGAGAGGAGCAGCATGCAGGATCACAACATAACTATTAATAAAGAAAAAACAAAAGTTTAATTAAAATGAACAAAAACATGCATGTAGATGCCTAAACTCACTGTGACAAGTAATCTTTCCCAACTTCAAAGGGATTGCCTGCAATCTTCAAAGATCACTTAGGGTAAGCCTGGGCAATTACAAAATATAAGTTGTACCTACCTTTTTAAAACCTTACAACTTTAAAAACTACCTCTCCAGGTTTACGGATTAAAGATGATGTTTCATCCCAAATCTACCTAAGCAGCCATCAACTCAGCATATTTTCCCATGCAGACCAGAACATTGATCACTCCATTCAAAGACTGAAAGATTACACAAGTAGATGAAATACGCAGCCCGCGTGCCTGCCACCACTCATATATCAAACTTACACTTTGAGCCCCGGAGAGTCCTCAGTGTAGAATCGCCACATCCCACCAGTACCTGTGGAAGTGGCACGGCCTGCACTTCTTGTCCCACAGCTGGCATTTTTCCTTTAGGGGACAACAGAATGAAACAAAAGCCAAAATACGTTAGCGGTCTGCCAGCTCCTAGCGCTAAGCGCCCCAAGGGACTCTGCAGAAGCAAGACACTTGCATCGGCCTGTACAGCCAGGCAAGCAGAGGGCACGGGGCTACGGCCAGGCGCACCGAGAACGGAAGAGCCAGACCCACAGGAGCCCTGCCCGCACACCCCACGCACGGCCCGTTTGCCCCCGCACAGGCTGCCCTGCCACCAAGTACAAAGGACAGGGGGAAAGGGTCGCCCCCGCTA